CAGAGAAGTGGTACAACTTGCTTCAAAGCACGTAATTTTGCACTAGCAAAGCACTCTAGCCCCTAAGGTCACACCATCAGTCAAGTCTGAAGTACAAAACTGCCAAGCATGGGTAGGATAATGTAAAATTAGTCTTTTAGTTTCTAAAGAGCACTGATATCACCTGAGGACAAGTCTCTCTCAAGATGCTCAAAAACTGCCCAAGTTTGACTTTGTCGATGGATTGAATAAAAGCATTTATTGAGCATCCAGTTGCTTTGGAGAATGTCACAGACATTTCAAGAGAGACAAAGATGAATAAAACATGGTTCCACCTTTAAAGACCTTAAAACCTAGATGCTTAAAATCTAAATCAGAGTAGGACAGGGTTTTAAAAATGTAAATTAAAAAAGCCCCTTATGATTTTTATGAATATTCTGAAACTAATAAGTGTTACAGGGATACGTGCAAATGTTTACATATTATTTAAAACCAATTACATAAGTATAGGACTGGAAAAAAAAATCTGCTTTCATAGCAACTTTTATATAGCCTCTCTAGAGGTTTTAGGATTAACCTCAGGACTAAAATGCTATTAAAACTTTTGATGTATTTTAGGTTATACTTATAGAAATTACACACTCAGAGAGTCTCTTTTCCCTGTGTAGAGTTCTGGAATGGTCAGCCAGCCCAGCAGCAACTTTTCTTGGTAAAGCTATAACATTTTAAGAGGAGCCCTGCAAAAGACACCTGGGATACACGGAAAAGGAAAATCTAACCAGTCACGTGAAGGATGAATGAAAGAATCAGGACGTTCAGCCTGGACAAGGAAGACTCAGGAGAGTAGGTGGGATCAGATTCCAAAATATTTGGAGGGTTGTCATGTGGAAGAAGGAGTCAATACTTCTGAGCTGCTCCCAAAGGCAAAATGACCCGAAGTCATGGAGAGGTTAACTCAGGTTAGCAAAAGACAGTGAATGCTGATCTATTTAAAAAATGGACTGTGAGCTAGGGGAAGGGCTCTGGAGAGGGTGGTAGGCGGGAGGCTTATATTTTCAACATAATGTTGAAAGCATCTTCCAAAATTAAAATCCTATGTTTCTGTAACAAAAACAGTTCCCTAAATCTTTAGTACACACACACACACACACACACACACACACACACGATCATATTTTCCCCAATGCAGAATTTGAGAGATTGTAATTAACACACGAGTAGCAATTATCTTTATATTCCTTTCAGAAGCAAAAGGAACAGTGACGGGTTATGACAAGAGAAGAAATACGCAGCCTGTGTGCATAGAAAACCAGTGAAGAGTGGGCATAAGCCCTGGGAATCCTCTCTGGGGAGAACAGGGAGCTGTTTTGATTTAAAGAAGTGAACAGAGAAGGAATATGAGGTTAACCCTGGATGCAACTTTAAATCCTTCAGCGCAGTGCCTAGCAGCCATAAGAAAGCAAACAAAAGTCTGCAAAGCTTCCCAGAGGTGATGAATAGAAACAGAAAAAAGTCACTCGCCTAGATAAATGCTACATCCCTGAATTGCCTGTGGCTCCCACCTCCTCTGTACCAGGCACTGCAGTCCTGAGGAAGGGCAAGAAAAGGCAACCAGAATGAGGTCAAAAAAGGTCTGGCACATGGATCTTGAGCTAACTCACATAAATCAAGTAAGTGTAATTGGCAAGTGGACACTTAGAGACAGAATATATAAAGGAAATTTCACCAGAAAGGGCGGGGGACAGGCGGGAGCCAGTGGAAGAAACCGCTCTAGGCTTGTTGAATACAGGAAAAACAAAGAGAAGAGATTGACTTTGAAATCCAGACAAAGCTCAGCAGAGAAGCAAGAAGAGTTAGGGGAACAGATCTTGGCCCGGCTGATGAAAGCCTCAGATATAATCCTGACCACACCAAGCAATTTATTAAAAGTTGTTTCTTCCCCATGAACCAACCAACTTCCACTGGTCTCTAGCATTCCTTCTGACTTATTTCATTAACGTTTCCTTCTTTTTCTGGAGCATACAGAGCCCCAGGGAGTCTCTCTCTTCCCCCACCTCAACCCCACCAATGGGGCATTGAACGAGAGCCAGGGTGTTGTCTGTGGAAAGAGAAATTGCAAAACCACAAATTGCACAAAATCGTTACTGCCAAAAATCGAAAGGAACACACAATATCACCATGCCTCTTTAAAAGCAATTGCGCATTTTACAGCCCTCTGGATAATTCAGGTTTGTTTGGCAACTTTCTCACCCATACCACCCAGAAGACAATGCCCCTCCACCAGAGGCAGTTGACCTCAAGAATAAGTGTGGTCGAAAGGAACCACACCGAGGTAGTGCAAGCCTCTGCAGGACACTGATTTGGCCCAATAGGATTCTATTTTCTACTACTGTGTAGTTTTTGACTTTAAGGCCCAAAGTTTGTCACCACAGTGCCAGGGACTCCCACCAAAACAGAGAGAGTTCCGAATAATCGAATAAGATCCCTTACAGATATGATGCACTTTCAGATACAACATAATCCTATGAAAGGAGGCAGGAAAATTGACTTCCTTCCCCCTCCCTCACTCTCTGTTATAATCTTAGAAACTGGGGTGCTAACTAACATTCTCAAAATCAAGCCACTTCTGAGGGGGTAAACTTGGATTTAGCCACAAGCCTCCTGATTTTCCCTCCCGGGTTCCTCACATGGCTCAGCCCTATTTCTCTGTGGGGGCATATGGTCCTGGCTTGGCTAAGCAATCTGCTTCAGCTGCGTTGGCATCTTACATGTCCCATACATATTTGCTGGACCTTTACTTGGAACCCTTCTGTCGTTCAGTGCAGACCTAAGACTTGTTGCAAGGGACGCTGACTGGGTTTTTTTTCAATTTGTTTTGATTGTATAGTACAGTTCTTATTAGGATATAAAGCCAAATCCAGAGAGGATGATGAATATGAGGGCCCAAAGGAGCCCAAGTCACCCTTGCCTGGTTATTTTAATGCATTTCTGTGATTTCATGGGTTGCTCAAAGATGGCTTGGGGAGTTGAGTAGACTGTTTTGTTTGTATGGTGTAAAATTCAAGTGCAAGTTTGCATCTCAGAGTATCTACTAATAAAATAGGTTACGGTACACTGTGCAGGCATGTCTTTGAGAAAAAAAAGAAATCTGAAATTAAGGTGACCACAATTTGAGCCTTCTAAGATGGAATAGCAGCCAGCACCTTCCCACTTCCCCCAATCTGGGAGGTAAAGGGTGTTTTTTGAAAATTTGACAAAGAGATCTTAGGGTAATAATCATAAACATGCACTTATGTTTACATATAATGGCTTAAAATGCTGTTGTAAATTGACCCTTCGCTTAATTTTCACCATGAATATATACCAAGTGCATTTTAGTATTTAACATCAAATCATTTAAAACAGTGGTGAACTTAAATAGACAGTGACAGTCTGATAAAGAGCTACTAAATATGAACATACAGGAAGATAAACATAGGTGGTTTCCCCTGAACAGCACTATATGTTCAAAAGAAAGAATGTAGTCAAAAGCTAACATTTGTACAAGCAATATACTCATGATAGCACATGAAAAGAGGGACTGCTTATAAAATCTAACACGACTTTATTGGTAAAATCTGCTTAAAATATTCATAACATGCAGGTGTCTTGATAATGCAATAAAGACCAAAGCAATATAACACAGAGCTTGACATTTTTAAAAATTCCAGTGAATGCATAATACTTTGACATTAAATTTAAATGACTTTGAAAGTGAATGTCTCTTGTGGTGATGTTTGAATATTTGGTGTATAGCAATGGGATCAATTTATTCTAGAGAGCAAACAAAAACATCACCCTGGGAAATCAGTAGAAACTAAGTTTTTCTTGCAGTTCAGCTGAACATGTAATTTTCTCAGGGACTGAATGATTTGAAAGAGAATCTGTTAGAGCATATATAGTATGTATAATTCAAGCAAGCTCTTTGGACTATGATGGTTCTAAGAATGTCTAGTTAAATGCTTTAGTGGCTGCTGAGATGCAGCCCTTGTTGGAAATTCCATATGAATCAGGAGCTGAGAGTTGATGTGGCCTCCCAGGTTTTACCTGACCTGATGGTTGTTGATTTCTTGCTTACTCATTACTCGTTACCTTTTAAGCTACTTTTGAATAGTCAGGGTCTTTATGTTGATCTAAATCTATATCCTGCTTTTTAAACTTGGATATTATTATTATAGAATTTTGTAAATATACACATTCATAAATATGTGTACAGGTATACATACACATACACATCTATACCTGTATGTGTATGTATATACACACATATGTGGGTGTATACATACATGTTTGGTTGAAGTCACTCTTAACTTTATTTTATTAAAAAGAGAAAAGAAAAACAATGTATTTGCATCTTAATTCCAAAGGCAAAATTCTCCAATACTCAGAACTTCCTGTTCAGACCTACCATAATTTTATCTGTTCTTTTAGAATAGAGGGTAATGGTAATGTGGGCATAAATGCTGGAAGTGTCAGAGTAAAGAAGCAGAATCCACAGGACATTAATTCTAGAAAGAACACTGGTGTGTGAAGTGGCCATAATGCAGTAGACACTGCAAGGAATTGTTCAGGTAGCTACCAGGATCTATTCATCAAGAAACAGCCTGCAACCAACCATAAGATGATCACCTAGGTGAAGAGGAATAAATTAGTCATCCATTTGAGAGACACTGAATATTCAGATGTTGGTGTCACATGGTCATAATAGCTAAATGAATGTTGCCTACTTTTTCCCTTCTTACTTTTATCTAGCTTTTCAGATGCAGTTTGTCATGGCCACAATCAGGTTCCAAAACGTTTTCTAAAATGCTCCATAATGTTATACAAATCTGTACTGTAAAACGGTAGCTTCAAACTGTGGCTGCATTTGTTAAGCCAGACCTTAAAAATGCAGCAATGTGAGATAGGAGCCATAAAGATTAAGAGGTTTTAGGAATTATAGCTGGGAAGTAGATAACATTTCAAGGAGGAAATGTACTTACATTTTGCTGCAAGTGAAATGCCTGTCTTTAAAGGGTAGCCTCTGAAACAAAGAGAGAAAAAAGTATGTTAAAAAAAGTATACAGTAATCCATTCAAAATGAAAAAAAAGAAAGCATTACTTAGCCTTTGAAGGTACAGCTACTGACTGAAAAATAATGAGATGCCTAAAGAAGAAAATGCGCTTATTGGGGGTACACTGTTCTTGGGCGTGCAGGGAGCTGTCATCTACAAGGAAAGTATTTAAGTCAACTGGCACATCTCATCACATGCTCAATTCTGTGGTCCCTGAATGTCCTAAAATTTCAATACCACTAGACACTCACTTTGTCTCCAAGGTCTAATCCTAGAGAGTAAACACAAGGAGTGGTTGTGAGTACAATGGCTTAGACTCAGCCTCTCCCTGCTTCAGGTTCATACTGACATTGTACCTTGCTCTTGTAGGCCCAGTTCTGACACATTGTTCCATTAAATGAAAGTCCTCCAAAAATTATAATTTTCTCAATTCATGCTTATGGGGATAAGTGGACAGTTTTCTTTTCCAAGAAATAGAAAGCTCTTGTGGGGGACGCTGAAGGGTGGATAGAAATCAACGCCAGTTTTCTCTTTATTCAGGATGCCAATAAAAGGAGAGGAATAATTAGACTGTGCCTGTGCTAGGAGGGAATTTGCCAAGTGTGGAGGCAATTTGTTCAGTGTGGCGGCCCACCAGAAAATTCACCTTGTTTCCAAATACATTTTTTAATCTCCTGTGGTTATATCCAAAGGAGGGCTTTTGAAGGTAGCAGGTTTATTAGGGGATGGCAGGGAAGAAACTCCTTATCATTCTGAGATTTGGGTAGTTCTAGGTCATCTCTTAAATGAGCACTCAAGTCATGGTGCCCTTAGACCTACAGAAAGATCTTGCCATGCCATGCCACCCACATGGATCAGGATAAGTCAGATGAGTCACTTTACTGAGAAATATTTTTCCAAACTCTGCCATTTCTATTTATTTATATTTTTAGGAATACTGTGCCTTTGGAAAATATATTCAGTGTTCTGAGATGGATAGAAATAATAATAGCAACTATCTCAAAGAATTATTATAAGGGTTAAATAAAATAATCAATGTCAAATAGTTACATAAAATAGTGCCCATAGAAGATGCTATAGTTTGGATCCAGAATGAGGCCCAGGTGTTAAAGGCTTGATTCCAGATCCAAACTATAGTATCCACTATGGGTGAGTGAGAATTACTACTTAGTGTTGTTACCAATGCTTGACAAATCCTACTTAGTGCTGTTACTGTTGTTATAATTATTAGAAGGACAAGTTGGAAAGCCAAGTTAAGAACATATAACAAATCCACGAAATGGGAGCTGGGAGGGTAACTATGTAGAGAGTCTTGCTTGGGCAATATGTCTCCATTCGTGGCAGTCAAAGCTGTACCATTGTCCCAAATTTCTATCCCAGATTGCCTTTTTCCAATCTTTAGTCCTCCAGCTGCTGAGTATATTCAATAAACATCCACGTTGCAAAATCTCTGAACGTTATAGAAAACCACCTAATCCCTCATTTAGTATCCATGGGGGGTGGAGTTCATAGATTGACAAATTGTTAAATTATTAAATGGCTGGGCCTATGAAGAATAGGGATAATTGTATCTCACACAGGTAGACACTTGATCCATTTTTACTGGACTAAATTTCTTAAATAGATCTCATGGTGTGAATCAAGAAGATGTCATGTATCACAAAATGGAAGAAGTTTTGAACACTGCTCTGATCACAGCCTGACATACATTCTCCCCATCTCCTGCCATTCCAAACAAAAAAGTGTACTGAAATTGTGTAGTTTTCAGCTCCTTTGAGGAACGTGTTGCCAGGAAACAAATTTATAATTCTTTCACCTACTGAGAAAAGTTTTTCTAGTGCTTCAGATAATGGGTTCTTTAGCCATAAAAGTATGAACAAAGAAAATTGTTACATCGTGGATTCACTGGACAAGAACTCTTCATTTGGGCAATGCAATTTTACTGCAATGTGTTTGATCACTTTGAAAATTATTCAGAGCTGTCCTTGAGGTTGCATTATGTATCTACCAATGTGATGGTTTCTATCATTTTTCTTGGGGTCCAAATCAAATCAAGCAATTATGAAGTCTGGGGTAGTTTGGTTTTCAGACTGTGTAGCTACATGAAAACTTGTCTTTGCTTTTTAAAGCTCATTTCTACTTTAGAAAAAGTAAAACCTGAATTCTTAAAGGAGAGAGGCCTTAAAATGATTAACTCATTCACTGAATGTTTGTTGAGTACCTACTATATCAAGGCTTACAGTGTTCTAGGCTCTAATAATCCATCCCTGGCCCTCATGATGAATGTCTATCTGGCTTTAGGGACAACTGGACAGTTTGTAGAACCATTACACATGATGCAAAATTACACCAATGGTCAGTGAGAGAGAAGGTAGATTGGTGATCTGATCCAGCCAGGGAAGTCAGGGAAGTCTAATTTAAGGAGGTGTTGGAATAATAGCTGGGGAAAATGCATATTTAATAATGATACCAGCAAATAATTTTGAGTGCTTTATGTGCCAGGAATGGCCCTCAGTGCTTTTCCATGTACTTATCAGTTCATTCTTTGTAATAGATCCTGTTGACCGTCTACTCTTATCCCACAACAGAAATGGTGGGGAGCATGGAACACACCAAGCAGGACATGGGCTTCAGGCAGGAAGAACTGGCTTCTTTGAGGGACCAAGAGAGCAAGACCATCATTTGCATTATTTTGTACATACTTTGACAGAGTCCCTTCTTCCACCCTAGAAGAGGAAGCCTAGTCCCTCTGGTCCTACCTCAAAGGGACATCTTGGCCATCTGCCTTATAATATGGTACCCAGTATTCCTTGAAACTCTTCAGAAGCATATAGCCAGCAGTTTACCATCCTCAGATTATGGAAGGGAGCACTGGGCCTGATTTCATAACAAGGCCCAGAGGGAGCACACTTTTTCAAAACCCTTAGATACCTATTTTGGTATCCTTTAGTTGGAACCCACTCTGATGAATGCTGGAAATCTGTCTCTATCTGTGCCCTCAAATGAAGGTCCTGGAGAAGCTGATCTGCAGACCAACATGCTCAACCAGCAGATCCTCTATGCCATCCATCTATCTCAACTTCTCACCCTGATTCCTATGGCTGATCCCACCTGGTTGCCATCTTGGAAACTATAATTCACACTCATTAGAGAATAAGACCACTTAGTAACTTTTAAATGTTCTATGCCAACTGAAGAATCTCACAGAGCTTTCTCCTGTTTAACATTTTTATGATTTGTAAAAAATTGCATCAATGTAAGAATAGCTGTTTATATAATGTAACATATGGAGTCACAACTCCAAAATACCTATTCTTTTTTATGAAACACAGTAAGCTAATTCCTTTATGTCCAAGATGATGAATTTTGAGATGAAGAGGCTACTGCCTTCTTATTCTGAATATTGAATTAAATCTTCTTTATGTTATAATTTTATTTATTTTCTTAATGTTGTGGTAAGAATGGCTAGTCTCTATTCCACTTATACCCAGGAGTGCTGGGAACCAAAGCCTTAAATTATTTGGGAATTTAAGAATGAACTGATGAAGGTTTTATTTAATGTAGAACATGCCAATTGTCAAATAATAACAATAATAATAACAGTTTGTGAATGTTGGCCCTCCTCTTCACTCTGTTCAACACTCATTCCTTAAATGGTCATAAGAGGGGCACATGTCATCACTAGCCTCTTGTCTCTGAATTTGGGTCCTGATTTGACCTACCATAGACTCTACTTTAAAAAGTCAAATCAGACAGGTTTTTCATGAATATTTCTAATTTTGCTCAGTAGCACTTGAGTTCCTACCTCCACTCCTCAATCTGGCTGGTGTTTTAAGAATTTTTTTTTAAACATTTCCAACAACTTCTCCTATGCCATTGGAATTTCAATTTTCTTTTTTGTGCCTTTGCCCAGACCTTGGTGGACAGTTCCACTGACTTACCATGTTTACTTACAAAGGGCTTCTTGTGTTTTCGTTTTGAATAGTTAAAACGCTCTTAATTTAAATAAACAATTTTCATTACAGAAAATTTGGAAAATACAGAAAATACTGCAGTGAAGTAAAAGAGCTCAGAACCGCACAGATTTATCTTGACGTATAAAAAGAAGTGAACGCCTTGCTCAACACCACAGCCTCATTTTCCAGAAGCCATTACAATTAATGGTGCATGGGGGCATCCTTCTTAATTGCTTTTATGCTTATGAAAGAACAAATATATACACAAAACTTTATACACACACTTGTATCATTTTTTTAACAAAACTGAGGTCACAATTTATAATAATCTATAATATGCTTCTATTATCTTAATAGCATTTTTGTGGACATACATTCCAAGTCATTTTATACAGATCTCCTATTCTTTGTAGTGGCTAAATGAGAGCCCATTATGGATACATCCTAATTTATTGAATCCATCCCATGATGGACATTTGGATTATTTGTGAGTGTTTGCTATAAAAATGAACTTATAATGACCAGAATATTTTGAACATTTGCATTTAGACTCATGGTTTTTATATTGTAGAGCAGTTCCCAGAATTGTGGGTACTATATAATAGGATATCTGAGGATTCATATTAGATAGAGAGTCCAAATTTTTCTTCAAGAAGGTTGAACTTACTCTCTTATCAACAGTAAGGTAAGTCTTCCATCTGTATATTTCACTAGGCAGGTGTAATTTCTATTTCTTATTTTCCTCTCTGTGTGATCATCTTCCTTCTTTAAGATATTTTATTCAGTGTTCAGCAAAGTTTTTGAGTTCTAAGAACTCTTTCTCTTTCTCCAGTTGTTCCTTTGTAATTATTTCCCTAGTCTCCTCAGGAATTTGCATTATTTTGATCTGGAGTTCTTTTTATTTGTTTCTTTGAGGTTACTTCACAGAGAGCTGCCTGTCCCTCCTTCAGCCTGCTGAGTCATCTTCAATGCCTTGTGCACATTCTCCCCCATTGGCACCTGTCTGCACACAT